TATTAAAATTTTCTACAGTGCACTTTACGGTGTGATCAGAAAAAGACGTACCTTTAACTCTTTGTGCTGCAACTACACCTTCCACTTCTTCTGCCAAGAACTGCATCAATCTAGTAATATTACCTTCGTTTAGTTTTTCACGCTTGGCATAGATAATCCAGCGGCAACAAATATCATTGGGGAATGCACGAATAATTTTTGGCACTAGGATTCTACCGTATGCTTCAATATTTTCACCCAGAGCAGTTAAAGCTTGAATTCTTCTGTTACATTCTATGTAAAGATCATTTAGATGCGTAGGAGATGGGTCTTGAATAACATTTAAATGTTCTAAGTAATCTAAGTGTGATTGGATAATTCGATCTTTATTTCCATATCTTTCCTCCAACAATTTTTTTTGTTGTTTCATAGGTGTCTCCTATTACACTAATTCCATCAACAAGGCGTTTAGCTTCACCATCTAAATAACCTCTGAGGAAAACATGTTTATCAATAACAGAAAGATGTGGATTGGCATCTATAGAAGATTTAAACTGTTCCCAAAAACATTGCCACTGTTCAATTTCTCCTGTAAATGACTGTAGTTTAATTGTTGGCAATTTAACTGTATATGGTTGAGTCATAGGCACTGTAGTAGGAGGGTCGCCAAATGTCATCGCTAAATCATTGGTATCCATATTCGAAGCAGCAGTAACATTATTTGGAGTTGGCGATAATTTATTTTGAATAATTTTTCGTGCTTTGAAAATTGCGGATTCACCAGTATCTATGTAGTTTTCACACTGCAAATTATCACTTTCATATTCATCGTCAGAAAGGAAGTTGTGAATTTCGTTATCTATTAGTTTCATATCATTTAAAGCAGTTGTTAAGCGATTACAAATATATTCAACTTTCTCAATTGAGAAATCATCGTTCAAAGTATCAATTTCAGTAGAAAAGCGAGAAACATTACTTCGCACGGCTTTCCGCTTTCGTTTCAGTTGCGTCATTTTGTCTACAGCTTCACCGGTCGGCGCCATTGCCCGAGTAGTAGAAAAGAACAAAAACAAAACTAAGTTTTAATGTCGGAAGTAAAATAATTCAGCAAGAATAATCCAACAGTAGGAAGTATAAGTTCAAGGTCCTGTTTCGTAAATGGTTTTTTCGGCACCAGATATTAGGAGATAGTATTTTATACTTATTTATTTCCTAACATAAACATGAAGTATAGAACAAGCAAAAGACATTTATAAATACAAAAAACGTAAGTGATGCCATTCACAAAAAGGGTAATGTTATTTTTAATAGTTCGCTGGCTTTGCCGCAACATATTTTATATATTACTAATTTGATACTAATTTCTTGCTACAGCCAAAATCTCATCATCATTATCTTCAAATTCACTTCCATTACTCAATAAATAGATCATCGCTTAATTGCTGAAACTCTGGTAAATTGGCATATTCAAAATCGTCAAAGTCGTTGAGGTCGCTCATTATCAGATAACTTTTCCAAAAAAATTACTAAACACTTACTAAAACAAAAGTCAAACAACAAAAATCAGCGTTATACCTACAAAATTTTCACAGGACTAGTTTCGATGGTTTTACCGAACCCTAACTAAAAACTAACTTAAAAGTTACAAAAACACTTAGTAAAAAGTAATTTATGACAACACAATAAAAATGATTATATTACCTTTTCCATACCCAGCAAGTGTTCCTAACCAGCAAGAATTCCTAACAAACTTATAGCTAATCATGAAGTTGCACCATGTGGTTTACACAAGAAAAATGCTGCATCGTGGTGTCACCTATGGCAAATAAGCTTAATTATAATCTAACCTATCTATTTTTACTAAAACGGATCTCAGGCATTAGAAATAAAATAATGCGAGATACAATATTGCCTGTGCGAGACATGGGGAAATATGTTAAAGGGTTAAACCTATTCAGGTATTTGCCATCCCTTAGTTTTTCAGCTTCTCTCTCAGACAGCCTAATAAAATCTTGAAACAAACAAAGTTAAAATATCTACAGAATTGTTTTCTGTAATATCAGCTGCCCTAAACACTATAGTGGTTAGTTTTTCTAGTTGCAGTATCGAATCCCAGAGAAATCACAAATTCTGTTAAGTATATAGTGCCTGTGCAGCATAGACACACTCAATGTACAGCAATCGATAAGACTTCTTGAGTGATTTGGTGGTAGGGAAAAAGGGTGGGAATTCCTCAAACAGTGCCTTGAGATGTTCTCCATCAAAACTGAGATGGAGGTAAAACAGCTGATGTGGGTGGACTGCATCTGTACAGTTGGTGGAAAATTCTGGTTTCCTGCCCCACTTTCCATCTGAATGACTGTAGTTAGCTGAAATAGTATCCAGTCATGCCAGCCAAGTCCTATAATGGGCTCATTTGTTAGTTTTCAAAACCCAGATGGAGTTGTTTTTGCAAAGCCATAACCAGTTTTGAGGTGAAATTTTCGATTCAGAAAGTTGAAGCCCAGATGATGGTTTTCTTTTCTGTATTTGTAGAGTATTTATAGTTATACAAAGGTGGGCTAAGGATAAGTAGCCTAGTTCTGGTGATAGTATGATAAGATATACACTGTCTTTCTGGTGTTTTGTGCACATATGAATAAAATGAAAAGGCAAAGTAAAGGTGGAGCACTGCTCTATTTAGCAACACCAAGTTACTGGACAGATAGAGAACAAGGGGTTACGACCTCCCCAAAGACTATGGCACTAGTATTGAAGGTGGGCTACTTTTTTTGTTGGGCATCTTTATAATGCAAGTGTGGCAATTATTTTTACTGTTAGTATATTTTATTTCACCAAAAGATACACATTTGAAAAAAAAATGTGCATTCACGCATAATTTTTGTAATATTTAAAAAGTCAAGTAGTTTCATGCTGTCAGACTGTGCCTTTAGTGTATTGTTGCATGGCAGCTCAATAAGATATTCTTCCACAGAAAAAAATACAAATAGAGCTTTGGCTGTAAAAAGATCTTGAATTAAATGGAATTTGTTAACATTGGCTCTTTAAAGGTGTTGTCATACCAGTTAATAAGCTTAGGGGCTTTTCAAAAGCATTTTATACAGTGTGTTTTTAAGTGTTTTTATTATAAACACTTAACACACCAGTGGTCAGATAAAGCATAAAGACACCAGTGGTCAAATCCTGAAATCATGTGGAATAAGTACTAATTTCTATGATGATATTAGCATATTTTGTGGTATTCCTACAAGGACACTTTATAAGTTTTAAGCCTATGTTTTATGTAATAATTGTGGAATGACGAAACATGGTTGTGAAATTATTACATCATTTATTAGAAGTATAAAAATGAATCATGTACAGCAGATTTTTATTGATTTTTTAGAGGCTATTAATATTATTCTGCGATATCCTTTTGTATTAAAAATATCAAACATTCTTTTGGTGATTGAATTGTTAATTAAAAAGGCATATTTCTAATAAATGTGTTCAGGATGCGACCATTAAGAAATATATTGGAAAGTCAAGAAATATGTGTTGGAAGATAAACATATATGATTATATGATATTGCTATGGGACTATATGATTATATGATATTGCTATGGGACTAGGTTTCTTTGTTAGATTAATGGATAGAAATTTGGTGTGAAAAGTTGGAGAGATGAAAATCAGTGCCAAATGGGATACCTAATACGGTGGCACTAGGAATGAGAAAACAAGAACTGCTCCCCATGATAAGTGCTAATATTTTTTTTTATTTACTGTTAGTTAGGCAAAAAGGCATGGCTTCACCACTGCAACTGAGAAACAAAGCAAGGCAGCCTGATATAAAAACACAGTGCAAATCTGTGAAGAAGCTAATTTGGCACCACTTTCTGAAACTGAGAGGTATTGCTGTTTATTGATTTTATGGCATATAATATGATAACAGGTAACTTCCTTCAAACTGGAGAGTTACTTTTGTCTGACATGTCTCCAGCACTCAAGGCTCAGATTTCCTAGACTGCTATTCGATATTCCATATGTCAGCTTCTCTCCCATCCATCTTAATTACCAGACATAGGTTCATAGTGATTTCTTTTCTTTCAAAAACTGAAGCCACATTTGTGTATTTCAGGTTGCAGCAACAATGATAATACTCTTCCAGAATGGTTTGATGGGTGTGACAAAACTTTTTTTCAAGCTGAAATCTGATGCTCATTGAATCACTCTTGAATTGGGTGGGCATTGAATTATAAGGAACTATATGGGAAATTGAGAATGTAATTTTAAGCATTAATCTTGGACAAATGTATTAGGCCAAAATTTGCTGAAAGTTTGCTTTGAATATCAAAAGAGATTGTAACAAGGCGAATTGCTTTTATCCCTTCAGTGGAAGGGCCCACCAGCGGCCGAGCAGTAAAGACACTGAACGCTGGTAGTTCAGTCCGAGGTTTGAATCCCGCGAACGGACTGCCTGTATGGGCGTTTTCGTGGTTTTTCCCTATGTGTAATGTGTATATGAGCTAGCTTGAAGACTTTCTAAGGAAGAAACTAACTTCTAAGGAAAGTCCTCCACGAAGGCATCCCTTCCTTTAGGCAGATAGCCCTCGTATGCTTTGCCATATTTGAATAATCCAATCCAATTCCTTCAGTGGAAGGATTATCATTTTTACTGTGTAATCGATAAGTTTTCTTTGGCTTTAAATCAATGCTAAAATTTTCATTTGATCCTTTAGAATAGAATTTATTACATTAAAAAAGGAAAGGGCATCACAGGGGTGAATGTTGTTTGTAATAAACAATTTTATTTTCAAACTTTTGGGGGACTTAAAACATATGCAAGAGAAGTTAGTTTTGTGGATATATAATTTAACATTGATATATAATTCTTTTCTTTGAGTGTGAAGTTTTCTTGAGTATTTCTTTTTAGTGAAAGTTTAGTGTTTTTTCACCAGATTTCAGTCATTACAGGATTGTTATATGTGCTTAACATTATTATAGTTGTATTTTTTAGCAAATCTTATAATTTTTGTTACAGGCTAAAGGTAGAAAACAGGAGAGAGAAAGAGAAACGAAAAAGGTAATATAGAATGAGTATTCTGCATAATTAAGCAAATTTAAACATAAAAGTTGAAAGGAAAATATCGAACCAGAGGGTTTGTTTATCCTTTTGCTGAGCCCATGGTTTACCAATGTACTCTTAGACCACATTAAGCATTGCTTTCTTTGCACTTTACACCACATAAAATTCAATAGTAAAATTTAAAAAAAAAAAAAAAAAAAGCATATTTTTAGAATTTTTGTTTGAATGTTAAGTGTTGCCATATATTTTTCTGTTTTTTTAGTTTTTTCTTAGTTCTTCATATCAATATTCAGTTTTCTTAACAAGATGACCTACAGAATTTTTTATTTAACTTTAATATTAAACATCACTTTCTGCAGATTTAGTCCACATAAAAGTCAACAGCAAAATCACAAATATTTAAAAATAGCAAATCTTTTAAAATTCCTGATAGAGTGTTAAGTATCGCAGTGCATTTTTGTTATGCTTGCTATGTGATTTCTTTAAAAGTAATGCAGGGTAATGACATTTGTTAAAAACATCCTTTTATTTATGTTGACATACCTTTATATATATATATATATATATTTGCTATATTATTTCTTCAATACATTGCAATAACATTTTCTGGCATTATCCTTTGATTTGAAAAGTAATAAGGACAAAACTGTGAGAATTGAGACTGAAAGCACATCTGGTGTTAAAATAGCTTAACATACAGTGTAGTGTTGGAGAATTCAGGAAATGAAAAATAAAGTATTTTTTGAAAAAGTCAGGGAAATGCAGATTTGTTTTCAATAATAAAACTTTATATTTTAAGCATTAAAAAACAATAATTGCCACTTTTGAAAGAAAGCAGAGTTACTGTTATCTTTATTTTTGTTTCAGAAAATATTTTATCTGACATAACCTGAATAAAAAATGTAACTGGTCTATAATCTCCCTTTTTATAGTTTATTATTTAAAAATAGACATTTCAAGGTTTTAGCAACCCTTTCTCTACTTACACTTCTAGTCTCATCATCCCTGTATAGAAAGAATTAGGTATTTTAGCAAATTGAAGATCCCCCCTTTTTTTCCCCTCTGCAACATGGTTTGTAAGGGATAGTCTTGAAATGCCTATTCTAAAGCAAAAAAATTATAGTAATGTGTCTTTCAAAATTATAGTAACTTTTTTTAAAAAAATTATGTATTAAGACATCATATTGTGTGGTTGTGCCTTATAATAAATAAAACAGGGTTCGTAGCGGTCCTTACAAGTGCTTATAAGTCCTTATATTTGAAAACAAAATGTAAAGGCCCTTATAGGTGCTTACTTTTTCTTTAAAGTTTTTTTTTTTTTTTTTTTTTTTTTTAGTGCTTATTTTTTGCTTTTAGTGCTTTTTATTATTATTTTTTTTTAATGAATGCGCTATTTTTCCCCGTACCAAAGCCGAAACTAAATAAACAACTTTTCTTCCTAATATGGAATGTCAGATGGTGAGTCATACTCCCGGAAATAGCTTTTCCCCCTTTCTCTGCATTAACATAACCTTTGGTGTGCACGAAGAGTACAGACAGGTGCCTGCGTTCTATTGGTCAAAGAATTGCGAAAGCAGTAGAAAATTCCGCTACATTCGGCATTCTTTTCCTCCCACCCAAATACTACACACGTTTGGATTTCTATCAAGACCTTAAAAATTTGTATTGGTCAGTTCATATTCGTGTTTATTATGATCGTTATGCTTATATTATGAGCATATGTATGAATGTTTATAATAACATAGTTGCAGTAACTGCTGAAGTATAGTAAACTTCCAAAAATGGTTGTGTTTTAACACAGATTAGCTTTCTAAGGAATAATATTCGGAATGGCTTAAATAAAGGGAAAGTAATCGAATAGTCAAAATAATTTCATTTTTTTGGCCAATATATTATACAGTACAAAGGTCGCTGCAAAACAAGCAACGGACTTTTTTTTTTTTTTTTTTTTTTTTGTTACTTTCCAATCTGGATTGAATAAAGCTAAAAGTTCTGCGGTCTACCAACCCAAGCGAAGAATGATTCTATTCCGGAAATTTAACGCCGTCTGTTGAAAATTAGAATGAAAAACACCCCAGTTATTTAGTTCTTTATTCTCCCAATACCGGCAGCTGTTGATTCCAATTGCGTAATATCACATAGGGAAGAATTATGGTGCACGTATTACACAATAACGTTTGCGATATTTTGCAGAGATAATTAATTTTGATGTTCAGTCCGAGATTTGTTTATGAACACTTACTTACTAACTGAAAGAGTTTTACTGTGCTTGCTAAGCAGAATATTTTTTAGTTCCGTTGGCTTATTTTTATATGATGCACATATTGAAATGTCAAAAGCATTTATTAGCGGAAAAATCTAAAGAGCGGCTACAGTCTACCCCCCTCTGCTCCTTCAAGTTATGCTCGACTGTCCGAATATTCGCCAATTCCAAGTATGCAGGTTAGTTAAGCTTTTACTGTTAAAGATGGCTGCATGAAGCAAATTTCTTCAGAAATGTTCCTCTTTTTTACTTAAATTACTTTGCTTGCAATTTCTGTTAAGAGAAAACTGATACACAATGAAAATTTAGAGAATGTTCAGAATTTAGATTTAAATTATTTAAATATCAATATGAGTGGAAAAATAAATTGTATTTATTATTATGTTCCAAACGAATATAATAAATATGCCTTATTATTATTTATTTTCTCTATTTTGAACTGAAATTTCATCATTAAATCTTGTAATATAGTTTAGTTCTTCAAAGTTTTTTTTTTTTTCTCTCATTGTAAACTAGTTCTGTAAATTGAACTATTATTTAAAATTTTTTTTAAAAAAAGTAATTATTTTCCATGGTTAAGGTAATGCTTATTCTCTCTTAATAAGCACTTCATTTCTCATATTTTAAATTACAATTCTAATTTTTAAGGTTATGCAGTTGTGTATGATGTAATTAGACAGGTGCTTATTTATTTTTTTCTTAAAATGTGCTTGAAAAGTGCTTATAGGTGCTTATGTTTTTAACTAAAATGTGGCTATGAACCCTGTAAAATACTGTATGAATGAAATCCTCTTATAGTCTAGTGTAATTCTCAGTTCCTCATTTTTGCAGTTAGATCCTGCTATAATGAATACAGTTTATGGTTAACCCCTGAATTTAACAAACAACTATTTGGGTTCCATCTAATTTCCTGTAAACTTATTGTTATTTTATATGGCTATAGCTAGCTTTCAAGTTTATAAAATTCAGATGTGATGAACTTTGTGGATATATTGAAAAACATCTTTAGGTTACTTTTCATTTATCTTCGCCACCATCTTTCTCCATTAAAAAAAAAAAAAGAAAAGAAAAGAAAAGAAAAGAAATACTATGCAAGGCAGGTCTAGCATTCAAAGCCATTGGTTCTTTGATTCCTTACAAGTTCTTTTATTGAGCTGTAACACAGTGCCATATTCAAGGCTCATACTTAATTGTAAATGCTTATTTTAGATGAAATAATTATCTGGAGGAATGGATCTAAACCATGACTAATGCTGAGTAATTTTTTATGTAAAATGCTTAACATATAATGAAATTGAAATAATAATGGTTGTAACTAACTTAAATATGTTTAAAATTGGAGTTACTGTTAACATCTTTTGGGTGATGTGACAGTGCTCTTTTTTGTTATTCTTTCTGTGTGATTTATCATTTAATTTTTACACTATATTGTAAAAGGATTCATTTTTTAAAAAATCAGATTAAATATTACACACCAAACTTTTCAGTCGTTTGAAGTTCATTATAGCAGGGTTTGACTGTAACTTAAAGTATCAAATGAATAACTATTACTGTCAAAATACTACCATCACAATATTCTTTGGCAATAATTATAAAAGCATACATATATTATTGCAAAACATTCAGTGCTAGTGTGTGTCTACATGTACAGTAAAAGCCTGACTTTCTGATATTTACTAGACAGACTAGAAGGCTGAAGTAACCAGAATATTTAGAAAAAAAAATTTCATTCAAATATTAATGAGATTCGTAACACCATTATAAAGCTCGTTACATACATTGTAGCCAAATAGTGTCATTTAGGCTACGTATAGATAATCGTGATATGTCACGATACAATCGTAAGAATTTTGTCTTTGTATTAGGAAAAACCCCTGAATCCTCAATAATGCAGTTTAATTTTTATGAAAAAGGATATAAGTTCTGTACCTCTGATGTTTGAAAAAATTCAATATTTGGGGCCTCCTTTGATGGGGACAGCATGTAGCCGTCTAGTTACTGTTAATGTATATTTTTATTAACTTTTTGTAAATACAATTTGAAATTCAGTTGAATTCATTTCATTAAATAAGCATGTTCATTTTGATTAAATGTAGGATTAAATAAAATAAAATAGAAAAAGAACTCAATTTGTAAGCTGTTTTTACACTGTTCATTCGATGCACATAAGTTTTGAGTTCGAGACCATTGGTCCAACCAATATAAAACATGTTTCAGAATAACATTTTTGCTTAAAATTATCTAATGAGCTGATTTCTTTTTACAGTGGAGAATTGGTGATTATTGCCGAGCCATATATCCTGAGGATAATTTGAGATATGAAGCTGAGATTGTTCATATATCAGGTGAAAAGTGTATTGTTTGCTTTCTGGGATATGAAGATGAACTGGAAGTGAACATGAATAATTTGGTGCCTAGTCGCGGAAAGCGTTCTCAAAATAAGCAGATTAAAAAAGCCAAAAAGTACTTTTCCGGTGTTGTTTCATCTGTTGTAAGTATCTTTTATTCTGATTAATAAATATTTATAAATTTTTAATGTTTCAGTTCTTGCATTAATTGTTACAGTGCATGGCATACATGGCCTGAAATTATAGAAAAAATGAACAACACTTATATGTAATTAAATAATCATAAGTATATATTTATATATATTAGAAAAAGGTTTTCATATATAATCTCCAAGGAACAGAAATTGAATTAAAACCATGAATTATTATAATAAAACATTTTTAGTCAGTAATTTAGTATTTTAAATTAGTATTATCTAGACCTCTATTGCAGGAAAAACCATTAAAAATCTGTAGAGAAGAATCCTGACTGCAGATTAATTGACTTGTCAAGGGGAACAAACCAATCTTCAGTCAATTAACAATAACTAAATTAAGTGAGAGTGTTTCGTCTTTTTTTCAAGTAGGGGCAAAATTATTATTCTACTAGAGCAAGATCATATGTCACAAACAATACGCAATTAAAAGAAAGATATTAGTTCATTTAAACCAAAAGAACTGTCATAAACAAAAATTAATAATATTAAATTAGTAAAATAATCTTTTTCATTTAATTTATTCATTAAGAACATAACTAAACGAGATCCTTACTTTAGGAAATTATTCCCCAACACTCTCATTTTAAACACAAGTTCAAAAGTAAAAACAAAAGTTAAATATTCTTCAATATTAAAAAGTAATTATTTAGAAAGTTTTAAGATCAGTGTCATGAAGGAAATTAAAATTAACTTACCTAGCTGCAAAATTTCAAACAAAATGGTTGGAAGTGTAATTGTACTCAGTGATGGAATGTAAGAGTGTTGTCATAAAAAGAGTTGTTCTGTATTTTAGATAGTTTAGCCTTAAATTGGCAAGAAAATCTTAAATTTAAAAGTTTCTTGTATTCACACATTTTTGTTGGCAAGAAAATCTTAAATTTAAAAGATTCTTGTATTCACACATTTTTGTAACAATTTTGCAAAGATTTATATATAAACAGACCGTAGAATTTTATTTTCTAATATGTTCAATCTGATAGCCCTTTTGTTGAATTATACTATCACATCTTGATTTTAAAGATAAAAGTCCTTTTCTGAAAACATCAAGGTTAATTTTATTCCACTTCTCTTTCACAATCTTCCAGAGTCCATCCAATGTTTAGGGATGTCGTTTATAAGGAGCTTGTTTTAAAAGTCCAGATGCACAGTAATCCATAGGAGAAACATCAGAAAATCTGAAACTTTTTCAGATTCCTTCCCCCAGTCCATTCTTGTAATGTCTCTCTCTCTCTCTCTCTCTTTCCCCCCCCCAGGAGTGCAAAAGCAGCTAATCATTCAACACTGGCAGTTTGACCAGAGTTCAAATTCAGCTCAGTGGGCTTGCTGCATTCATATTTTTGTGATTTTTCTTATCTGCAACATGACTAAGAGCCATTTCCCTTAAAAATTTCTGCATGAAGGCATCCCTTCCGTTAGGCAATATAGCCATTGCATGCTTTGCCATAATCCAAATATTTATTCCTTTTTTCTTCAGGTATTACCAAGTTTTTCTATAACAAGTATTTTTTGTAAGATATTTCTTTGTGAATTGTTCTAAATTTTGTCAAGGAAAGTGAGAATTTTTTTAATTTAAACCTCAAAGTTTTTCTTGATATTTAAAAGTGTAGTGATTTAAAGATACTGGTGTGTTCAAATATTCCTCAGACTGTTGAATTTATGGGATGCCTCTTTCAGTGCAGTGAGTGTTCTAAAATATTCATACTTTTATATGTTTATCAAATGAAAGTTGAGATATCATAAAATATGTTAGAATTTTGCATTGTGATTGGAGTAACCACTGCAGTGCAATAGAGCTTGGTACTACAATTCAGTGTGATATTAGTAAGAACAAAGAATATGTAAGAAATGCTGTAAGTAGTACACAAAAGTTAAGGGTTATTGAGTTACTAAAGGGTTTCAGTGGGAAGAGAAATGTCATACTCACAAATTTTGACCTCTCTTTGCAAATAATGTAGAAAACTGCAGTAATACAGTACTTGCAATACTTCTTACATATTCATTGCTTTTGAAAACACCAAATAGGATTGATAAGATAGTGACTGCACTGCATTTTAAATGACACATTACTCCTGGAATTTGCGATGTCATATAACTGTATTAATTCGATCAGTGATCATATATATTAAGTAAAAAGCGAAAATAGCTATGTAGTTGAGTTAAAAGAAAATAATCCTACTGTTCGGAAGTATGAATGTAGTGAAGTATGGATTTAAGATTTTCTTGATTTTGTAAATTTTTCTTGTTTTCCCAGCAAAAATATCTCAGTTGAATGGGTTTGAATAAAATAATTATTCAGAATCCTTTCTAGATTTTTCTGAATTTAACTCATTTTATAATTTTTTATGCTTAAATTATTGTTTTTATTGGAGAATAAACAATACTGATGGATATGCTGATTGCTTTTCAAGGATGAAACTGAAAGTGAAGTAGTCACTGTAAATGACAGTGAGAGTGCAACATCTCAAGTCCCACGATTTTCTAGAAGAAGGCATGATGCAGAAACAGTCACTGTTGATGACAGTGAAACTGAAACTCCTCGAGCCCCACGATCTTGTAGAAAAAGGCATGATGCAGAAATCTCTTGTGAGCATTCTCCGTGTGCTCATGTTGAATATCGACAAGCATCCACTTTCCCTGTGAGTAAAAAGTCAGAACTCTTATTTCCATAGATGGGCAGTTTAACAATAATTTATCAGTTATTTTTAATCAGTTAATTGTTTTTCAGTTAATTAAAAGAAAAAATCAGATGTGTACCCCACATGACTTCCATGTACACGGAATGTTGAATTATACCCGTCTTTTGCTACATTTCATTTAAACTTATTTCTTAAAATTTTTTTCAAGACGTATATTTCCCATTCAACTAATTCAGTTCTCACTTCGTGGCAAGGCAGAAAAATATATATATATATATATTATATATTACATAAAACCTTAAAATATCTTTCGTAAAAGTTAAAAAACATAAAAAAAGTGTAAAACACCAAATATAGTTAAAAATTTTTCTTAAAAAATTGTACAATTAAAATTAGAGTTCATGTGCAAAAACAAGCCATTTGGCCAGCGGACAAGAAGACAAATTTTTCGGTGCACAAAAACGAAAGCTGACTTTTGGTCCCATTGGACTAAAGTCACTGAAGGTGCAGAAACTGAATTCACTATTCTGCTAAATTTCAAATGTAAACAAATATGGCTGCTATGATGCAAAAAATTAAGCTTAGCTGCACTTGAACAACTTTTAAATTGTTGATAATGTTACAACTATTGCATGCAGATTAACTAAAGGCATAAAAATTTTAACTGGAACATAACAACAATATAAGTCAATCATTTTTAAAACAAAAAGTGAACAATTTATCAACATATAAGAATTGGAAAAAAAGCTCAACAAGCTGAGTAACAAAGTGGGTATGTGTGTGTATATATATATATGAAATGTAATTTCTCATACATTATTTGTTTTGTGCACCCGGGGCAACAGGAATGAGACAAATTTTGGAATATAAAGTGGTAGGTTTATTTTAGCATCCATCTCACAAGCGTTCTCCTCGTACCTTGAGCAGAAGCCCTACTTATACATATGTGTACATCACGAAGCTCCTCCAATCAGCGATATTAATTGAAATCACGAGGTGACGCTATCTTCTCATCAGGAGTGTTCTAAAGGACTTTATGTAATATGACAGATTTATGAGTTTGGCGATTTGGCGGGCGCCAACAGGTTAATATATTTTATACTAAAGAAAGGATTTCGCCAAAATTTAGGAACAGGGATGCAATTTAGGTAGAGAATCGCCAACACATTATTAAGCAATATTATTAGAATTTAATTTAATCAATTGATTTAAAAATATCATTACAGATTATCCCCCCCCATCTGAAAAGGCTTGCAGTCGCGGCCGTCGACCCAAGACAGTCCAGATAGTGAGAGCAGAAAATTTAGTTATTAGGAAATTAAGTGAGTAGGAAAACTGATTGGATTTACCTCAAGGCACACAAAATGTTTACATAAAATATGACATCAAATATTTGAATATAATGAATACAGTATATAAAAATATAATAAAATGATTAATGAAATTATAATATAGTAACTAAGTGCAGAACAAATAAAGCACTAATAACATATTGCTGGTTAGCTACGCGGCAATAGGAAATAGTAATATAACTGAATTTGTAAGTTTATATCTTAGGGCATGCCATTCACAGTTTGTGTATGAGTCCGTACAATCATTAGAGTTGTCATTCAGGCTCATCTTCAGTCTTTTACTGGTCTTTGGAGATCTCCGGATCATTTAATTAGCGCTAGAATTATGGATTAGCATTGGCACTGAAAACATTTGAGTTTTTATGTCACGATACTAGAGCTCTTATACTCTTGTTGAAAATACACATTTTGCTAGGTTTTTAACATATTTTGTCACTCTATTTTTCTCTTATTAATGATAACAAAACAAAATTTAACTTCCAACATCCATACCAGTTTTTTGTACACGATGCTGCAGAAACATAAAATGAAATTCAGAAATTTCAACAACTGAAATTTAACTTTTTCAACTGTTGCTACAATTTATAACACAAACATAGGAAAACATGAGCTCAAGGAAATGTGAGGGTATAGTACTCTACTTGTAGTATAGCCTCAATTGAGTGTTTCCCACACGGAAAGTGCATTGAACCTGAAACTCAAGTTTGAAGGAGCCCAGTAAAAGAAAAGGGCAGACAAACTTTTCAGACACTGAGAGATAAATCAACTATTAAGGGGGACAACAGGATGAAAACTAAAAGAAGGGTTATGGATAGTTTATTGATTTATAAATTTTGATTTATTCATGATGTAATTTAAAGTTCTCGGGTGGATAATAGAACCTTAATTTTGACGCATGTACAATCTCAGTTGGTTTCTTCGTGTGAAAATTTTCCCTGTCGATTTCATAATTAACTTCAGATAATTTATTCATAATCTGATAAGGGCCTGAATAGGGTGAAGTCAATTTTCTAGTATTTGGGTATTCGAATTCCTCGTAAAGGACAAAATCTCCAGGTTGAAATTTAGATTCTACAAATCTGATGTCATATCTAGTTTTATTCTTTCGGTGGTATTCGATAGTTCTTTTCTTTGCTAAAGCCCTTGCTTCATTTAAGGAAGGGTATTTATTTTGATCAATTGGAGATTCAAAAGGGAGGTTACCAAATAGTAAGTATGCTGGGGTGAACTTAGTTACCGTATGAGGGGAGTTGTTATATTCGATAACAACTTGCTCTAGCACTTTAGTCCATGGTACTTTTTTAGAAGAAGAATTTACTTTACATTTTAGTCGACTTACTATTGATTGATTTACTCTTTCTACTTTACCATTTGTCTGGGGATGGTGAGATGAAGTTAAAAGTTGTTTAACATTATGCTTTTTAAGAAATTTTTTGAATCTAGAGGAAGTGAAGGCTGCATTCCTGTCACTCAGAATTTTTTCTGGAACTTGTATTTGAAATATTTGTTTTAGGCAATTGGCATAGGTTTCTGAAGTTACACTTTTAGAGGGAAAAGCCCAGACATATCTTGATGCATGGTCAATAACTGTATGTGGAATTATAATAATTAAATCCTCCCACAGTGTCAATAGAGAGACATTCGAAAGGTTTGTCGGTTGGGGGTACGTCTTGCATAAGACCAAATTTTTTCTGTTTTTTCTTTTTATTAAGTTGACAAGTATGACAATGTTTAACAAAATTTCCGATATCTTCGCTAATATGAGGCCAATAATATTGAGGGGTGATTAAGTTAAGCATAATTTGAACTCCCGGGTGACCAAAATTTTCATGGGTTTTATTCAACAATTTTAATCTTAAAGATTTAGGTACTACAATTTTATAAAAATTCTTTTTCTTAATTACCATCATATCATTTATCTCTTGGTAATTTTTTCCGCAGACATTATCAGTTTTTTGTTGTTGGATTATTTCATTTCTATCAAGTAAATGTACATAATGTTGGAGGTGCTGTGAAACAGGATGTCTAGAAAGCATGTCAGCTTCAATATTGGTAGAGCCCTTCTGATACTTTACTTCATAATTGAACATACTTAGTTTGAGTGACCAACGGAAGAGTCTACCTTTTAAATTTTTAACATTTTTGAGCCAAACGAGGGCCGCATGGTCCGTATGTATAACAAATTTTTGTCCATGCAGATAGTAATAGAATTTGTCTAGGGCATCTACTATGGCCAAACATTCTAACTCAGTAATCGTATAATTTTTCTCATAATTTCTTAAAGTTCGGGAATGATATGATACAGGGTGAAGGACATCATTTTCATCTGGTTGTTTCAAAACAGCTCCAACAGCAGTTTGAGAAGCGTCAACAAAAATATGACATGGCCTACTGGAATCATACAATTGTAAAACAGGTTTGGAAATCAGTATTCTTTTCATTTCGTCGAAAGCTTTTTGACATTGGTCATCCCATTCCCACTTGACATCTTTTTTCAAGAGTCTGTTTAATGGAGCTCTAATAGTTGCATAATTCGGAATGAATCTATGATACACATTCACACTTCCCAAAACTCTTTGTAACTCTTTGGTGTTACTGGGGTTTTTAAGTTTCTTAATAACTTCTATATTATGGTTATCGGGAATTATTCTACCATTTTTTATTTCATAGCCAAGAAATGTGATCTGATCTCTGGCGAACACACATTTGTTTCGATTCAATTTAATATGCTCCTCTTTAAACACCTCAAATAAAATTTTTAAATGTTCTAAATGTTCCTTCTCAGAGGAAGAGTAAACGATTATATCATCAAAGTAACTGCAAGCGAAATTAATTTTATTTTTTGTTAATATTCGTCTAATTGTTCTGTTAAAAATTGCAGGAGCATTTTTGAAACCAAAAGGGAGTCTTAACCATTCGAATAATCCAAAATTCGTGCAAAAAGCTAATTTCTCAGTATCTGCAGGGTGAATCGGGATATGCCAGAAACCAGATCTCAAATCAATTGTAGAAAATACTTTTGCTTTACTTAATTTGTCTAACAAAGTGTCAATGCGAGGAAGAGGGTTTGCATCTGTTTTAGCCAGGGAATTCAATTTTCGATAATCTATACACAATCTAGTTTTCTTACCTTCCTCACGTTTAAGTACTAAAGTCACGGGGGACGAATATGGGCTACAACTTTCTTTAATTATACCTGCTTGTAATAATTGATCAATTTGGGTCTTAATTTCCTCTTCTTCCATAGGGGATGTTCTATAAGGTCTTAATGATACAGGCAAATCAGAATTTAAATTAATTCGTTGAGGTTCAATATTAATTTTTCCTACATCATACTTATTTTTAGAAAACACAGATGAATAATCATTTAACAATTTTTCCAAGTTATACTCTTTGTTATCGACAGTATTAGAAACAGCATTTTTCACATAAATGTTAGACTGAGAAACTAATTCCTTTGGATTTGTAGTCCGAGATTTACAGGTTGGAAAATTTCTTACATCATCATCATTATTAACACATGGATAAACATTTGTTGTACCACCTTGAAGTTGGAGGTGTAGAGATATGGGTCGGCTGTCAAAATGGCAGTCATCATTAAGTACAATAGCTCTCTGTTTAATTTTTAAATTAGTACAATCAATACTC